GGACTTCGGCGAACGCCTGCGCGCCGTGGGCCTGACCCCCGTATCACGCACAGTCGCTGCTTGCTCCATTCGGCCAATCCTCCTGGCACTGCACGTTTCAGGGCATCGTGACAATTTGAGGGAGCCCTTCTCCCAATCTATTTCGGGGTTGTGCTCACGTAGCCAATCCAACCCGACGATCACATCCTCTGGACCGATGTCCGTGACCGTGAACACCGTCTTCTCGACGTGCTCTCCTATATGCATCTGTAGCACCGCTACCTCCGAGATGCTTCCGTCCTTATTCAGGGTGCCGTCAATATTATACAGCGGAATTGGTTCCTTCAACTTCCGCGTCTGCACCTTATTTTCTAAAATGAACCGCTTGTTGATAAACTTCGTGGTGGCTCCGCTGTCCACCATAGCGATTACGTCCTTGTGCCGTCTTTTTCCTTGAAGTCGAACTGGGATGTGAAAGTGTTGGGACCCCTGGTCCAACTCATACACCATTGCAGTCGACAATACATTATAACGATTACATGATATACCCGGCCCGACGCGTGCGGCACGAAGCGCGGACCGGATCAAAAACCCTCCTCCTTCATTGCCCGATAATGCTCGAGCTCCTCGCGCATCGACTTCACCTGTGCCATTAAGTCCGCCAGCTCCGATTGCTCGGATTTCGCTGAAGCGGCACTTATACTTGCCGAGGGTGTCGTCGTGATGGGGGCACTTGTCACAGCCTGGGTGGAGCCCGAGGCAACTGTAGCCCGCGCATCGGCGCGTTTTGTGTAAGGTTTGTCCTTACAATTGGGGCACTCGAAACGTCGGTACCCTTGCTTCCCACAGCCGAAGCATGTGCCGGGGAAGTTGCCTTTTCCGACGGCCGCATTGATGCTGGCCGAAGCTGTATGCGTCGAGGGTGCACCACCACGTGCCCCACCGCGTCCTCGACCTCGGGCCGAGAAGAAGTTATTTAGCTCGGGTCGACGGGCCCGGCTAATGTCGAGGATCTGCTCGACTTCGGTGGCGCGCTTGTCAGCGTCTTGCCACGTGGTGAAAGTCTCGAGCTCGATCTTTCGGTACATGCGGGAGGGGATGCCACTCAGGTACTTGTCGCGGAGCTCCAGGTCCCCATACCCAGAACGGTCCGCCGGACCCTTGAACAGCGCGGAGAATTCCGCAGCGGTGCGTTTTTCACGGACCGTCTTGTCCGCGCAGAGCTTCGCCAGCTCTACTTGTGCTGCCGCCTCGTCGTTGAGATTTCCGAAGCGGGCCTTGAAGGCGGCGGCAAAGGCCGCTTTGTTTGCGAATGGGGTCGTAGCCCCTTGCACCCCTATCTGCACTGATACGAGCTGGGCGAAGTAGGGGGTGGCCCAGGCACGGGCATCACCGTCGAGCAGGCTCAGTGCGACCTGCACCTTGAGTTCGATGGTGGTCAATGACGTGTTGACCATCCAGTAGATGCGTAGCTGCGACAAGAACCTGTCGCAGTCGATGACGGTTTTACCATCGTATCGGAGAGGGAGGAGGAGTTTCAATGTCTCCTTGTCGAGGACGGCTGCGGGGGACGACATTATCGGCGACGAGGGGGACGAAGGACTGCCCGCGGACGGAGGCGACTGTTGTGACTGTCCGCCGGGCGAACTTCTCGAGGAACGAGTGCTTGAGCGGCCTCGCGGCGGCGACGGCAGTGAAGCCGGTTGAGGAAGCCCGGAGGCGGGGTGACGTAGGAGAGGGACTGAAGTCGAGGCGGTGACCGCTGACGACGAGCTGGCCCAAGAATGCGGCGGAGTGTCGCGGGGCTCGGTCTTGGGAGGCCTTTCCAGCCGCGGCCCCAAGGAGGGCTGGGGGATCGCTTGAGGGGTCGCTGAAGGCTGTGCAACTGCCTCAGTTCCTCGAGGGAGATAGGGATCTCCTCGTGCTTGACCTGTACTGGCGACAGGTTGGGGGATGCGGGTGCCTGGCGAGGCAGGTCGGGATGGGACGGGAGTGACGTGGCGAGATGTAGATCTCGAGGTGCCAGCGTACCGGAGTGCAGGGCCGCGGGGATGTTGGACCCGTCGGATTGGTACGAAGTGTCCTTCGTCAACAGTGATGGACCGTGGGGTGCGATTAGGGCACGGTTGTCGATCACAGATGAAGAAAGGAGCTTTGTCTCTGTCGCTTTTCGGGTCGTCACGAGAGACGTCGACCTACTCCTGGGTGTCGAAGGCGTGCTCAAGTCGAGAGCAGTCGAAGAATTCGTCAGCCACGGTGATGGGGGGAGGAAGGGGAGGTGCGCGTGCTACGAAAGGCCGTGCTAGCTAGCTTACACCTACGGCGCCCAAGAAGACACTAAGGTTCGCAGTTCACGTGGGGCCCAGTACTGCTTTTGGCTAGTATGCAGCAGGAACCTAAGCCACGCGTCCGTGAGGACAAGTATCGCCCACTGAAGTGCAGATACCGAAGAGTTTGTCCCTTAAGTGGTGGCGATGTATCGTAGGTTATCTAAGTATCGTAGGGTATAGTAGGGGTGCGCACCACCCAACCTATAGGAGAGGAAAGATGAGTGTTTGTTTTGGAACGCCGGCAGCGTTGAGCAGTTTCGACCTAATGTCGCGACTTAGGGTCGAGTGACAGGGGAAAACCAAACGCTGGGGGCGTTCGACTTATCTTACCGAAGCGATGGTGAGCTAGGCTCAAACCTAAGGCTAGGGACAAGAATGTATTAGTTAGTAAGTAAAAGAAGTAAGTACAGGAGAGCTTACTGACCTAGGGACAAGAGGTCGAAACTGAGGTCCCTAGGGCAGCAGAGCGGTTTATATACATGGGAAGATTTAGGGCAGGCTGTG